TCTATTTTCACTTATTAAAAAAATTAATTTCTACCTTCAATTCTTTGTTGACCTAGTGATCCTTCTGGAATATGCTATTTAATTTCCATATGTTTGTATGGTTTCTGAAGTTCCTCTTGGCATTGATTTCTAGTTTATTCCCTGTGGTCTGAGAAGATACTTGATATGCTTCTGACTTTTTAAAATTTGTTGAGATTTGTTTTGTGATCTATCTTAGAGAATGTTCCATGTGCTGATAAAATACTGTGTATTCTGTAGTTGTTGGGTACAATGTTTTGTAAATATCTGTTACGTCCGTTTGGTCTAAAGTCCAATTTAACTCCAATGTTTCTCTGTTAATTTTCTGTCTCAGTGATCTGTCTAGTGCTATGAGTGGGGTGTTAGAGTATTTCACTATTATTGTATTACAGTCTGTCTTTTTCTTTAGGTCTAGTAATATTTGCTTTGTGAATTTGGGTGCTCTGATATTGGGTGCAAATATACAAAGGATTGTTATATCCTCTTGCTGAATTAAACCCTTTATCATTATATAATGACCTCCTTTGCACTTTTTACTGGTTTTTATTTAATACCTGTTTTATCTGATATAAGTATAGCTACTCCTGTTTGCTTTTCATTTGTATTTGTGTAGAGTATGTTTTTCCACTACTTTACTTTTAATCTATAGGTATCTTTATGGGTAACTGAGTTTCTTCTAGGGAGCATATTGTTGGATCATGTTTTAAAAATCCTTTCTGCCAGCCTATATCTTTTAAGTGTAACATTTAATTCATTTACATCCATGATTAATAACGATATGTGAGACTTTGTTCCTGTCATATTGTTAACTGTTTTCAAGTTCTTTTATAAATGCTTTGTTGGTTTTTCTTTTTCTCCTTTTGTCTTTGCGGTTTGATGAAATTCTTTTGTGTTGCCATTTCATTCCTTTTTCTTCCTCCTTTATGTGATTGTTTTATGAGAACTGTGAGTTTGATCTTTCAATGCATTTTCATGATAGTAAATATCAACCTTTTGTTTCCATGCTTAAGACCCCTTTAAGTATTTTCGGTAGGGTTGGTGTAGTGATAACAGAATCCCTCAGAATTTGCTTATCTGAGAAATACTTTATTTCTTTATTTCTTCTTCTTTTTTTTTTTTTTTTTTGCCTGCTTCTTCTTCTGAGACTTTATTTCTCCTTCATTTATGAAGCATATTCTTGCAGGATAAAAAATTATTGGCTAATAGTTTTTTCTTTCAGCATTTTGAAAATACTATCCCATCCTCTTCAGGCATATAAGATTTCTGCTGAAAAGTCCACTGTTAGGCTGATGGGATTTCCTTCATAGATGATTAGGCACTTTTCTCATGGTAATTTTAAAATTATTCCTTTCACTTTCACTTTAGACATTCTGAATATAATATGCCACATGAAATTCTTTTTATGATGTATTTGCTGAGCATTCACTGGGCCTCCTATATTTGGATATGTAACTCTCTTAATAGACTTGGGAAGTTTTCATCAATTATTTCCTTAAATAGGTTCTCTAAACTTTTAGATCTCTCTTCCTCCTTGAGCATACTAATAATTCATAAGTTCAGTCTCCTTATGTAGTCCCAGATGTCTTAAAGGCTTTATTCATTCTTTCTTACACTTTTTCCTCTTACTTTTGTCTTTTTTTTCTTTTTTTGAGACAGGGTCTTGCCTTGTTGCCCAGGCTGGAGTGCAGTGGTGTGATCCGAGCTCACTGCAGCCAAGTTCTGAGATCCTTTCTTTTGCTTGGTCTAGTCTATCATTGAAGCTTTTGAATGTATTTTCTATTTCCTTCAGTGAATTCTTTACTTCCAGTATTTATGCTTTATTTTTTCTTTTAGTTTGAGACAAGGTCTCACTCCAATGCCCAGGCTGGAGTGCAGTGGTGTGATCTTGACTCCCGAGGCTCAGGTGATTCACTCACCTCAGTGTCCTGAGTAGCTGGGACTACAGGCACACACCACCATGCACAGCTAATTTTTGTATTTTTTATAGGGACAGGGTTTTGTCATGTTGCCCAGGCTGGTCTGGAACTCCTGGGCTCAAGTGATCCATCCATCTCTGTCTCCTGAAGTACTAGATTACAGGCATGAGTCACTGTGCCTGGCACTCTGCTTTTTTTCTTTAAAGGATGTCTATCTCCTTGGTAAATTTCTTATTCATATTCTGAATTGATTTTCAGATTTCTTTATATAGGTTTTTCAGGTTTCTCTTGCATCTTATTGAAGTTCTTTAAAATAAGTATTTTGAATTCCTTATCTGGCATTTCAAGGAATTATTTTTGATTGGGATCTGTTGCTGGACAATTGTTGTGGTCCTTTGGTGATGACATAGTTCCCTGCTTTTTTATGTCTCCTGTATCCTTCCATAGATATCTGTGCATGTAGTGTGGCAGTTGCTTGTTCCAAGTTTTTTGAAATTGCAGGAGATAATTATTTCCTGAAAAAATATATATGTTGTTGATTGAGTAAAATGCTTTGACTTTGATTTTGGGTGCCTGCACTAATGTGATTTCTGTACGACTTTTTAGACAGCATACAGGGTCAGTAGTATCTGTGATTTCCTCAGTGACATAGGATACAGCTATTAGTTTAGGTTGTAGTGAAGATCAACTGGGGACTTGGACACCAACTAAACCAGTCTTCAGCACTTAATGGTGGCAGCTATGGGGTGAGTGTGCCTGTTTTTAGGTCCCAGAGCAGCTTACACTGGCTTTTGCTGTTAGTGGGTCCTGATTCTTAGACCTCCAGGTGGCTTGTTTAGCAGCGAGTAGTGGGAACAGTGGACTAGGTGTGTAGATGGGTTCTTAGGTGCCTGGTCAGCTGGTTTGATGTGGGTGATGGTGGTTGCAGTGGTGCAACAATCCACTGGGAGCCAAGCAGTCCATACTGATGTTGCAGAAAGCTGCAATGGGTTGAGCAGGCAAGTTCCCAGTCCCTCAGCTGCCTGTAGCAGGGTGGTGGGTATGCTCCTAAATGTGCTTAGGAGATCTTGATCTCCCCTGTCTCTCCCATGGCTCAGTGGCAGCTGCAGCTGTATCACCTTGAACTTACCCCAAGGATAGAGTACAACCCAGTGTTAAACTCTCAAAATGGTGCCAGCTTTGGGCTTTTGATCAGAGAAGGTGGGGCCCCCTCTCAGGTGAGCAGCATTGCAAGAAGCTGTGGGGAGTGTGGTCTGCTTGCGTCTATGTCTCACAGCATTCCATAGCAGGGAGGTTTTAGGTATTGTCCCAGGTGTGCATTGAAGAGCCTGGTTTCTCTGGCTGTCCCTGGCCAGGTGACAACTGCTACCATGTCAACTCAAACTCAGGCCAAGAGCAAGGTGTGACTCTGCATTAAACTCTCCAAATGGTGCCTTGGGCCTGTGACCAGGAAGGGTGAAGTCACAGGTAATGTAGGCAAGGGTGAGGTCCAGGCAGGCAATGTAGGCAAAAAGCTATGGGGATTGAGGTCTGCTTGTCTCACAGCAGCCCACTGCAGGGCAGTGGGTATTGTCCTAGATATGTGTAGGTGAGCTTGGTTTCCCTGATTCTACTTGGCTGGGTGGTGGCTACAATCCCCTTGGCCTGAACTTAACCCAAGTGGAGGGGACAGACTGGTGTTAAACTCTGAAAATGGCACCTTGGGCCTGGGACCAGAGAGGATGGGGTGCTTCCCAGTAGAGCAGCATAGGCAAGAAGTTGTGGGGAGTATGGCTTGCTCTTATCTCAGTCTCATCAGCCTGCAGCAGGGATGTAGGGACCCTCGTAGGGGTATGTGGGAGCACTATCCCCCCTATCCTTTCCTGGATCAGTGTGGTGGCCACAGCGGTATCTGTAGATCCCCAGTATCTAAGCTCTCAAAATGGCACCTAGCTGAGGCAGCCCTAGGCTTAGATGCCTGTGGGATTCTGTGTGGGTTTCCTTTCTGGAAGAAGGTCTCCATGCAATTTTTAAGCAGCTTCATATATCGGGCCCAAGGCCCTACTGGGCCAAGGGTTTCTCCTATAGCCAAGATTGTAAAAACCCATTTCGGAGCCCTGGGAGTTTCTCCCTTACTGTTTTCCCATGTCCGGGGCCTCTTTCGATTCTCAGTCAGTCCCCAGCTGGGCAAGCTACCTCAAAGCCTATCCTTACTTCTGGTGTTTCCTGTCTCTTCTCTGGTGAATCTTAGCATTCTCTCCTAGATGGTCTGTTTGTAATGCATCTACTTGCTGTTCTGGTTCCTCTCTGTAGAGGAAGTGCATATTACTTGCATCTAGTCAGCCATCTTTACCCCCTCTGGATGTTTATACTGTTAATGGATAATTAGAGTTTATGTAAAAAAATACTTCAGAAGGAGATGACTGTTCTCATGGTCAAAAAGAAAAAAAATATTTTATCTTCTTTTGGTTTTGAGAGACAGGGTGTCACTGTCACCCAGGCTGGAGTGCAGTGGCACGATCATGGCTCACTACAGCCTTGACCTCTCTGGGCTCAGGTGATCCTACAGCCTGAGTCTCTCAATTAGCTGGGACTACAGGTGTGCAACACCATGGCTGGCTAACTTTTGTATTTTTGTAGAGACAGGCTTTCGCCATGTTGCCCAGACTGGTCTGGAACTCCTGGACTCAGTTGATCCACCCACTTCGGCCTCCCAAAATGTTGGGATTATAGGCATGAGCCACTGCTCCCAGCCTTTATCTTCTTAACCATGAGATTGTTGTCACAAATGAAAGGCTAAACATAAGAAACAAATGTTGTTGCTAAATATAAAGGAAATTGGCAAGTGTATAATATGATGAAGTTAATATTGATTAGAAAATCCAATTATTTCTATGGTTTATCCTGATATATCCCAAGATAGCTGTTTGTCAGCAGGTGAACTTCCTATTTAATTGGCATGATTGAGTAATTAGACGTATTCTCAGAGCAGCAATAAAATGAAATTCTCATGTCTCAGTAACATGGTCGAGGTTTTTGTTTTGTTGTTTTACTCGAGTTTATCCAACTGAGACCAAGTAGACTTTGTTTTATCTGGAAATAATTTTCAATTTAATATTTGATAAGTGTGTGGTTATATAATTATTTTAATCATAAGAATTATGGAAAAATTCACAAACTTGACAAAAAGTTGTGATAATTTACGTTTTTCTCATACTAAATCCTTCAAGGCCTCACTGTCTTTTTCCTGGGTTCCTGCAGGAGCCTTCTGATTGGCTTCTCTCTGTGCGTTACAGGACTTTTCCTCAGGTCAACTTATCTTCTAGAAGAGAAATTTGATCTTTGTACCATGTAATCTATATCATAATGCGTTCCTCTGTAAATAACAGAAAACTGTACTACAGTGGCTTAAACAAATAGGGGTTTATTTGTCTCATCCATTACAAATGTGGGGATAGGTACAGTGGCTTCAAATTGCTTCCAGGGTTCCAGCCTCTTTTCGTCTTTCTGCTCTGCCATCCTTACTATATAGACATTCACCCTCATGCTAGTTGTGGCATGAATGCAAGATGACTGCTTCACCTCCAGGCCTTGCTTCTACATTCTAGGCAGGAAGAAGGTAGAGGGTGAAAAGGACAAAAAGGATTAAGAAGTCTCAAGAAGACTTTGCCTTTTTCCATAAAGGGAAGCCCTCCTTGAGCACTTTTGACTAGTTGCAAAGGAAGTGGAGAAATTAGGTACTTTGGTTATTTTAGCCTTAATAGTAGAAGTAAAGAGGAAGGTAGATATTATTGGTTTTTCAATAGCCAAACCATAGTTTTTATTATATACTCTCTATTCCATATAAAATCTTCAAAGGTTCATCATTGCTTACAGTGTGAAGTCTATATCTCTTATTATTGTGTAGTATGACGTTGTAGGATGATTTCTTACCTAACTTCAAGAATTCATAGACAACTTAACTTCATTTTTGCTAGTGTACCTGTATTAGTCAGGGTTCTCCAGAGAAATAGAACTAATAGGATGTGTAGATGTATAGAAAAAGGCTTATTTTAAGGAACTGACTCACCTGATTATGAAGACAAGCAAGTCTGAAATCTGCAGAGTGGGCTGTCAGGCTGGAGACTCAAGAAGAGCCAACATTGCAGTTCAAGTCTGAAGGCCGTCTGCTGATAGATTCTTTTTAACTCAGGGGAAGTCAGCCTTTTGTTCTATTTAGACCTTCAATTCACTGGGTGAGGCCCATCTAAATTACGAAGGGCAAACTAACTGCCTGACTCAAAATCTACTGATTTAAATATTAATCTCATCTAAAAACATCCCCCTGGAAACATCCAGAATAACATTTTATCATACAGTTACGCACTGTGGCCTAGCCAAGTTGACACAAAACATTAACCATCACAGCACCTAAATTAAGCATGCTTGAGGGCCGGGCATGGTGACTCATGCCTGTAATCCTAATACTTTGGCAGGCTGAAGTGGGAAGATTGCTTGAACTCAGGAAGTCAAGACTGCAATGAGCTATAATTGCACCACTGCACTGTAGCCTGAGTGGCAGAATGAGGCCCCCCACCCCGTCCAAAAAAAAAAAAAAAAAAAAAAAAAAAAAACCTTTTTGAAAAACAGGAAAAAAAAACTGAGAAAGAAGAGCCCAAAGGGGTAACAGAGACAGTATCACACAGGGTAGTACAGGCCTTGATGAGGAAAGAGCAGCCTTTATATCAAGAGCAATAGAGATTAATGAAGCATTTTAAATCACTTCAGACAGGGGTTCCCAACCTCTGAGTGGCAGACTGGTACCAGTTGGTGACCTGTTAGGAATTGGGCTGCACAGCAGGAGGTGAGTAGCAGGTGAGCAAGCATTACTTCCTGAGTTCTGCCTCCTTTAAGATCAGTGGTGGCATTAGATTCTCGTGAACCCTATTATGAACTGCACATGCGGGGGATCTGGATTACAAGCTCCTTATAAGATTCTAACTAATGCCTGATGTTCTGAGGTAGAACAGTTTCATCCCAAAACTATCCCTCTCTATCCATGGAAAAATTGTTTTCCGTAAAACTGGTCCCTGGTGCCAAAAAGGCTGGGGACTGCTGACTTCAGATGTTTGCTCACCTATTTCCTCCCATCTTTATTCTGACCCTTCTTCCAACCAATGTAGTTTGTGTGGAATTGGCCTCAAATTAAGACGTTTAGCAACGTCTGGCTTAAGATGTTTGGCTTAAGATGTTTAGCAAACCTAATCCCATTGGCCACAGTGATTAGTTCAGGGATGGGTCAATAAGACACAGTATTCCATTTGCTGGAGCTTCTGAGAAAGTGTCCTCTTTTACTGTGTTTGCTGGAGTAACTATGTGATGCTTAGAAACTGCTGCTGCCATGTTGCTATCACTACAGGAGTAATCTTAAGGTAACACTGACACACAGAGAAGACAGAACTGTGAGATGGAGCTTGGTGACAGATTATTGTAACTGAAAATCTTCTACTCCTAAATCTCCAGTTGGGACAGAAAATTACCTTTTATTATATTTAAAACCACATGACTTAGGTTTTCTATGCCTTGCAACATGAATATTGTTAATTAGTATATGTCAAGTAATCACATTTTCATTTTAGAAAGCTTATTTTGGTCTGTAGGGATAATGGATTGTAAGGCATAAGGTAGGGAGACAAGTCCCAGTAATATTAGGTCACAGTTTAAAAATTTCCTTGGTTTACAAAGATGATACACCTCCGTTTCCAAGTTCTGGGCTCTTGCTGTTGCAGGGCAGACTATGGCTGCCAGGAAGCCACCCCAGGCACCCTGTCAGAGGAGAGCAGTACTTTGGACCTGCCATAAGCCTGTATGTGAGGGATTATGTCCTGCAGAGACCCAGCCAAGAGGCCAACAGCAAGGCTTTTAGTTCTGTGAAATTCCATTCTTTTCCTTGCTTTTCTGATGTGGATCCAGACACCAGTAGCCTAAATACTGAACGAAATGACTCTGGGACCACTGAGAACTTTTTTTTTTTTTTTTTTGAGACAGAGTCTTGCTCAGTCATCCAGGCTGGAGTGCAGTAGCGCAATCTTGGCTCACTGAAAGCTCCACCTCCAGGGTTCATGCCATTCTCCTGCCTCAGCCTCCCAAGTAGTTGGGACTACAGGTGCCTGCCACTACGCCTGGATAATTTTTTTGTATTTTTAGTAGAGACAGAGTTTCACCGTGTTAGCCAGGATGGTCTTGATCTCCTGACCTCGTCATCCACCCATCTTTACCTCCTAAAGTGTTGGGATTACAGGCATGAGACACCGCACCCAGCCAAGAACTTTTGATTTCACCTTTCTGTGAAAGGCCAATCAGAGACCAAAGAAGAGGATAATGGACTTCAGAAATCTCTGGATAAATTCTATGAAATATTTGGCTATCCAAAGTTAGCCTCTGCGAATCCACTCTCTGCATCTGTCTGCCAGTGCCTGTCTCAGGAAATCCCTCAACTAAGAGTCCAGGAGAGCCAAAGTATGCCCTCCATGTTTTCAAATGTCCCAGGTCATCTTTAACTGTGAGGCTGCTCAGTCTTGCAGAGGGACATCCACTTCTACTCACTGGAGGAAGGACGTATGTCTGTAGAAAAGCCAACCCAGAACTTTCAAAAGATATTAATTTTCTCTTATGGCAGAATGCAATGAAAGACCCACAACTGGTGCCTGGTGGTGAACAGGCAGTATTGGAGGTACAGGCTATGACCAGTACTATTGGCAGCCATCCAGATCCCCCAGGGTCTCTTGCCAGCTCACTGTGCTCAATTTTAACTAAATGATTTGTGGTTAAAGGCTGGCACCTGTGACCTGGTGTTGGAGTCAGTCAGTCTGTATAGAAAGCAGCAGGGTCTGGGGGTTTTATGTGCCTGTGGCTACTCCACCTCCCACTCCCCTTGGCTGAGGCCATTGACTGACAGGGTTAGGAGTCAAAAGCCCAGCTCCCTTCACAAGGAAGGACACACTCTGAGGCATAATTTATACTCCATAGGTCCCTCCCCTGGCAGTCAGGCCAATGCTGGGAGTTCACATGAAATCACACTCTTTCTGGGCTTCATCCCTTTCTCCGTCCTCCTCCCATTCATTTATGGGTCTGTCTGTGAGCCTTTCCTTAATTAACCTCTTATATCTGAAAAAAAAATTGCTCTGTTCAATATTGCACTATTCATACACAGACTTCATATTTAAAATCCATTTCCAGGCAACCACCTTTGGTTCCCTTCCCTTTGTGTGGGAGCTCTGTTTTCACTCTATTAAATCTTGCAACTGCACTCTTCTGGTCTGTGTTTGTTACAGCTCAAGCTGAGCTTTCCCTCACCGTCCACCACTGCTGCTTGCCGCCATTGCAGACCTGCCGCTGACTTCCATCCCTCTGGATCCAGCAGGGTGTCTGCTGTGCTCCTGATCCAGTGAGGTGCCCGCCTATTGCTGCTCCCTATTGGGCTAAAGGCTTGCCATTGTTCCTGCATGGCTAAGTGCCTCGGTTCATCCTAATCGAGCTGAACAATTAGTCACTGGGTTCCATGGTTCTCTTCACTGACCAACAGCTTCTGATAGACCTATAACATTCACTGCATGGCCCAAGATTCCATTCCTTGGAATCCGTGAGGCCAAGAACTCCAGGTCAGAGAACATGAGGCTTACTACCATCTTGGAAGCAGCCTGCTGCCATCTTGGAAGTGGCCCGCCACCATCTTGGGAGCTCTGGGAGCAAGGACCTCCTGGTAACATTTGGAGACCACGAAGGGACCTCCAAAGCAGTGAGTAATATTGGACCACTTTCGCTTGCTATTCTGTTCCGTCCTTCCTTACTTAGAATTGGAGGAAAATACAGGGTACCTATCGGCTGGTTGGTCTGCCTGGAGCCAGCTTCTACTTTCCATTTTCTTGGAGAAGCTGAGGGCTGACTAGAGGCAGAAATCTGTTGTCTTGAACTGGCATTGGCCGGTTGAGATCATGTTGCAGCTAGAACTCTCTACTCTACAGTCGCCCATGCATGTGCCCCTAACTTTCCTTCTGACCCATACCTCCTGGATCCTGACCATGACTTTCTTGAAAGTGTAGCCCCAAAATTCTCCTTACCTCTGAATTACTTCCTCTGATCCCTGCCTTCTAGGTACTAATGGTTCAGACTTCCATTTCCTCTAGCAAGTTGTATCTCCAAAGGAATCTGAGGAAGCTCTATGCTGCATCCTTAGGCCTCTAGATGATAAACCCAGGGAGTCTTATCCCTGGTGTCCCTCCCAATTTAGGTATACAGCTTTCAACATGGGCAGTTATATGGGACCTGTTTCCCACCACACCTGCCAGGGCCCCAAGTTTGTAATGGCTAAGAGAAAAGAGAGAGAGACAGAGGAGAGAGAGAGAGAGATGGAGGAGAGAGAGAGAGATGGAGGAGAGAGAGAGAGACAAAGAGGGAGTCAAAGAGAAAAAGAAAGAGAAAGAAATAGAAAAAAAAGTGTACCCTGTTCCTTTAAAAGCCAGGGTAAATTAAAAACCTATAATTGATAATTGAAGCTTCTCCGTGACCCTATAACACTCCAGTACCACTTTGTTGTCAGTGTAAATAAGAACGTGTCCCAAAAGCACTGAGGCCACTGACAACCAGTAGCCTTCCTATCAAAAATCCTTAACCCAGGAACCCGTGGGTGGCCCAAATGCATTCAGTCTGTAGTGGCAACTGCTTTGCTAACATTAGAAAGTAGAAAATTAGCTGTTAGTGGAAACTTCATTGTGAGCACACCTCCCCAGTTCAGAACTATCCTAAGTCAAAAAAGCAAAAAGGTAGCTTACTAAAAGATCTTAAAATGTGGGGCTATTCTGTTAGAAAAAGGTAATTTAACACCAACCACTGATAATTCTCTTAACCCAGCAGATTTCCTAACAGGGGATTTAAATCTTAATTACCATACAAAGGTCCGACCAGATCTAGGAGGAACTCCCTTCAAGATAGTACCATAGATGGTTCCTCCCAGGTGACTGAGGAAAAACCACAGTGGGTGTTCAGTAATTGATAGGGAGACTCTTGTGGAAGCAGAGTTAGAAAAATTGCCTAATAAATGGTCTCCTCAAATGTGTGAGCTGTTTGCACTCAGCCAAGCCTTAAAGTACTTACAGAATCAAAGAAGACTATCTCAATCCTGACTCAAAATGTGACCTATGCCCTCTCTGAAATAAATTTGCATAAGAACTGTTGTTTATGGGAATGCATCTTGATGGGGCAGCTGGGTTGTTATGAAATACTCCGGAAGCCAGCCCAGCTCTAGGACTCACCCCTGAGCACAAAGGCAATGTTCGGCACACTGGTAAAGGACCACTAGAATCCAGCAGCCCAGACCCCTTTCTTTGTGGTCAAGAAAGGCCGGAAAAGGGGTGCAGGACAGCTACATCGGTGAGCATAACTAATCCGATAAGCAGAGGTCCATGGGTGGTTATGCACTCTGGAAAGGAATAAGCATTAGGACCACAGAGGACGCTCTAGGACTAATGCTCATCAGAAAATGACTAGGGGTGCCAGCATCCCTATGTTCATTTTTCAGATGGGAAACGTTCCCCCCAAGGCAAAAATGCCCCTAAGATGCA